CTGTCCCACCCCCTTTCTGGGGAAAGTGTTTGAGAGGGTATTCTCCCTCCTGAATGAGACATGTTAAAATGTAAATATAGATTAAAAATACACCCATGGAAACATGTGATTTTTTTTTTTTTGGAATAAAATTCACTGTTTTATATACGTTTGACATTGTTATCTTTACAACCGGGTTAAAAGAACCATAAAATGGTGACCCCGACTAAAAAGGACAGACATTTAGTTGTGATTCCTTTGCGTAAACGATTAAAACGGGTGCTGCGAAAAATGATCTAAATCACAGTACATACAGAGCCATATTCGGTCCCTGCCACTGAAAAAAGAAATCATTTATACACCTTATGGCTATGGCAACCCACTCATCAAAATCCTGGGCAAAGCTACAGCCCTTAGTGTCAAACACAGCCAAATGAAAGTGGACAATGTGGATTTTATCATAACCGAAGAAGGTAAAAACCTTATCAGCTACGACCTATGTTACAAACTTAACATTGTGCAATTTCCCTGTGAGGAAGAGCAGGGATGCTGTTCCAACTGAATGCGAGCACACTATGACCAAAGATAAACTAATAAAGGAGAACCCCAAACATTTTTGAAAAAATGCATAGTGAGTATAACATTGAGTTGTCAGGCGATGCAGAGCCGTCGATAAAACCATTTTGAAATGAACTCAATAGACTAGACCTAGAGATATAAAGGAGGTGCACGAGCCAACCGACTAGGTGAGTCACTTTGTGTTAGTAACAAAACCAAATGGATCACTCAGAATCTGTTTAGACCCACATGACCTGAACAAAGCTGTCAAGAGGCCCGATTATTACGTAAAAATCTTAGATGACATACTGTCGGACCTACGCGAGGCCAAGCATTTCTCCACACTAGATCATAGAAGCAGACACTGGAATATCCCATTAAGTAGCAAGTCACAGCTACTTACCACATTCAGTACGATTTATGGCCGTTTTTGTTTTACAGGTTACCATTTGGACTGATCTCTGCACAAGATGTGTTTCAAGTTGACCGCAAATGTGTTTTGCGTCAAAAACGATATCCTATTTATTACAATTGTATTATTGGTTATAATTCGCTGCCGAAAGAAATTAAGTCATTAACAAGCATGTCAACTTTTAAGATTAAAACAAATTGTAATTGAGGCCTGTTTTTAATGCAAAATGTAAATACTAAAAGAGTTTTAATAAAACATTTAAAAAAAGTAGTTTTGAGCATTTTAAAATTACCTATTACATTTTCACTTATTTTTTACTGAATTATGTTTTAAAGGTATTATTATTATTCTTACCATTTTTTATATCTTTTTACATCGTTTTAAATTTTTTAATTTTAACCTTGAAATTTTATACTTTTAATAATAGCATTAACTACTATTTTATCCAATGCAGCCTTTTAATTTAATTTGATTACTATTGTTTTTTTCTCAAGAACCACATTGGATATAAGTCATTTTTGTACAACTTTCATGGGCTATCCTAGTATACCATGGTTTACAACATCGCATTTTATTGACTTAAATTTTTAATCTTTTTCCCTATTTTAAAGTATGTATGTATGTATTTGCTATTTATTGTTGATGTGGTATACTAAATAAGGTCAAATTCAATCAAATCCAATCGCACCAAAAATGAGCAAGGATCATGAAACGGCCATTCAAGATGTCATAAAATCATGCAGAATCAACAACTTAAAGCTAAACCCAGAGAAATGCCAAATCAACAAGCAAAGCATAAAACTTTTGGACATTTGCTTAGCAAGGAAGGAATTGCACCAAACCCAGCAAAAGCACTGCGATACAGAATTTAAACGCCCCTGGTAACAAACTGGATTTGCAATCACTTCTAGGATTAATACAATACCTGTCTAAATTTGTAACGTTAAGAAATCTGACTGAGCCTATTAGGAAGCTCTTGCAGAAGGACGTCGTGTACGAGTGGACGCCTTGCCATTAAAAAGCGCTAAACGAAATTAAAAACACCATCATCAACACTCCAGTACTTTCATATTTTAACGCCAAGAAAGAAATTAAAATCCAATGTGATGCGAGCATAAAAATTGTAAACTCAATTTTACAATCTGCTCTGATCACAAACCACTGGAGGACATCGCTAAAAAGGACATATCCAAAATGCCGATCAGATTCATGTTACAAATGCAAGACTACGAAGGCACAATCAAGTATGTACCTGGCAAAGACGTTTTGATAGCGGACACCCATTGCACTGTATAGAGCCTAATCAAAAACTTTCCAAGTCCTAAATCTTGAAGTCCAAAAAAAATGAGTTGACTGATATGAAATCATTCATTATAGACAAAATAAGGGAAGCCACTGCAGCAAACAGCATGCACATACGCTCAGCACATACATAATAAGCGGCTGGCCAAAGGAGAAAAATCTATGCAACGAGATAACCCATGCATATTGGCAACACCGCTACGAACTAGCGATGCACGACGGTTTAATACTGAAAGGTTCCCGGATCTTCATACCAGTAGAGATGAGACCCAGAATATTAAACTCATTGCACAGACAACACCATGGAATTGAAAAGACGAGAGAGACGAGAGAATAGCAAAACGGAAAGTTGTGAGTGTCTTCATTTCTGGTTGTAAAGGTGAGGCGTCATCGCAGACCGAAGTGCGGGGCACAAAATAAACTGAAATAGTTTTGTGGGGTAATTCTGAGCCATTACCAGGGGGCCCCAAACTGGGTCGGGGTACAAAGCAGCTGGGTGTGCGATGATGGCTCAAAATTGTTCGGAGGGTAGGCAATAAGTACAGTGTTTAGTAAGAATTCTGCTTTGGTACTGTCCACACAAATTGTGGTTGAGTCTCATGCCAACATTAAAATGTCATGTATTTAAATCATTTTATCATTTAGTTATACTTACATTGCCTACAAGGTGAAACTGGAACATCCTCACTGGTATCTAGAAATGAGATACCAACTTGAAATTATTACCTCTTAAAACATGCTTAAAATTATCATTTGTTATAATAATTTTTAAAAATACATTTCTAATTTCAATTTTATTTCTTATCATTTGTTTTCTATGAAATGTTAAAATACAAAAATGTCCAATATACATGAATATATACCGTAAGCTAATAGAAATAAACAAATGTAATTGTAAATACCACACCTCCCAACAATCTGCAGTAGCGGCTGATGCTTATTTCAAAATCACCACAATACACTGTATCATTGTTGAAATTTTTGACATCGTGCATGCGCTGACATTCCTCAGGACAACTGCAAGGTATACACATCTTATATTTAATCTCTTCTACAGATGGACACAAATCCTCAAGGACTGACTCAAGAAATGACAATACCTACACAGACCAAAATGAAAAAAGTTACTAGGAACCACTGTCTCTGATGAAGATGTTCATAATGATAATAGCAATAATACCCCTTTTACACTGCCAAGGGCAGAATAAACCTGTCTTAATTCCGGGGTGATCCCGGGTGCATTTCCCATTTACATCAAACGAAAAAGTCCGGGTTGATCACGAGTTGCTCCCATTTTACACCGGCAACAAACTCGGGTTCAAATACCACCCTCAATTTTTGTTGCGATGGTGATCATCACTTCGCTCGAGTTCCTTATCATCAAAAAGCCACAATTATTGTCAATATTAAAGCAATGAACATGCAGATTATTTTTAAATTATGCGAATTAAATCAGCAGTTTTGATATCAAGTCTATACTGGAGCGTAGAGGGTTTAATTTGAAAAGTGTCTAGGCCTAGCCCGTTGTTAGCTAAGTTTAGGCCTACCTAACCACAGCTGTGGTAGGCACCACGTAAGGCCTAATTCTGGAATCAAATTCGGTGCTGTTTACACTGGCGACTCTGGAATGCGTCCCGCACTTCCATCCCGGAATGTTTGGCAACCCGAGTCGGATTTTTTGACGTTTACACAACCACAATTCGGGAGATTTTAACCCGGGTATTGGAAAATCCCAGGTTACATCCAGAATTTTGTTTGCAGTGTAAAATGGGTATTATTTATATAGTTCTCGAGGCGCTTAACAACAACATGGAGAAAAAAAATACAGGGGTGGCACTAGTTGGGGCTTGTTGAGGAGAGTTGGCCTTCCTATGAGGAAGAAAAAACAATTTGGGAAGTATTTTTTAATTATGATTATACAGATGTTCTTTTTTATTTAGAAAATAAATCCATATAATACAAAACTACATTCGAATACCAGAATGCCTACTTAATCATTCCAAACAACATATCTACTGCACTATACAGTCAAAAAGTACAAAACACTGCAAATACAGTAGTTTAAATGTTCGTAAGAAATAACTTATCGTAGGCATTACTACTGGCATATAAAATTATGTACAATATTATTTCATTCCCTTGTATACATTAGAGGACAACTGCATCCAATTTGCTCACGAGCACAGTGGCCTATCTATCAGGGGGGCCTGGTGGGGGGAACAAGCTTTTTGTGGGGGGGGGGCATGCACCCCCCCCCTTGGATACACCACTGCACGAGCACCATACTCGAGGTAGTGACTGCAGAACTTAAATTAATGGTCATTTTGGGTACCCGACCCACCACAGGTTTTAATTGTATTTTGCATACATATTGCATGATTATTTTGTTCTCTTCCGCTATCACCCGGGCATCGTAACAACCAACCGACTGTACACCATTTCCAGTCCCACACAACTACAACATGGTAGCTCTGTATGGGTTGGAAGTAAAAGTGAGAGAATTGAAAGGTTACGATTCATTTTAAAGGCCCCCTATAATACACCTTGCACTACACTGTACTGTGATCTTGGGTGGTAAAAAACAGCTTATAGCAATAATCTTCTACATTTTTTCTGAGAATTTTAACAGTTCAATAATAGAAATAAATTACATTTTATCCTCGGAAATGAAAATAACAATTTTTAGGATAAGAACACCAACATTTTAATTGACAAATTTTACCAAAAATTGTTGGCCATGGAAGTCTATGGTAAAGGAGATTGACTTATTTAATTTTTTTTTTAAAACTTTAATCTGTGCTCTTGTGTAATTACAGTAGTATTATTAATTTTTCTATTTGATATTTTAAGTGTGTGTTAGTACCTCCATGTTCAGGGGCAAACCCAGTGTGGGGGCACGGGCCCTCCCATTTTGCCACAAAATTATTAATGCATATAAATGTTATGTGCTCCTCTATTATCTATTCTGAAACTGTTGTGCACCCCCACCCCATCCATTTGAACAATTTAGGATCTGCCCCTGGTACGTGTATAAGCTACAAATGTATGTAAAGCATACTACTGTAGCTTCTCATTTAATTTAGTTCTTATATTCTTAAATGTTATTATAATTTCATTTGGTTTCTATTTATGCATACTGATTTGAAAATTTGATTAAAGTGTTCCCGAGGCATTGGCTTGCTTTGCTGCCTTTTCTGGCCGATGTCTTTGGGGCATCGTCAGACAGGGTGGCTGGCTGCTGGTTCCGGTTCTACTACCTATCAGGCTGCATTGGACCTGATAGGTAGGAAACTCAATCACATGAGCATTGGCTTTGCAGAGGAAACCACATTTGGTAGTGAAATCTTGGTGTGTTCAGAGGTTGGGTAAGCAAAAATTACACTTCCAAGGAAGGAGGTGAGAAAATTAGTAATGTTATAGTAATACACGCTAATACAATAAATTAAGGAACATTTTAGATTGTGTATTCTGTGATTACGTCACGGTCTATTATCCAGATCCGCAGAATTTTTAGACTGTTGGCGCGTAATTAAAATGGTCCTGGCACTATAATCAATTTAGGCCTAACAGCTTCATTAAAGCAATCTCACTTAAATATCTTTAGAATTAACCAATTGTTTTTGGGTTTCTGAAATGGCTTCAATGCTAAATTTTTAGGCCTATGTTGCCATACCTAATTATATTTATTTATTTATAACATCAATTAGTTTGATGCAAGTAACCCGACAAAGGTAAGAAAACAAAATTAGGAATGTAAACTACTGAATGTATACTGTTATGCGATTGAAAAGTATTGATTGAACATTGAGTCGACCTAGTTAAATAATTCGACTCAAATACCTACAAAGGATAGTAAACTGGGTGATGTTGCATACAGCAACAGTGCGTTTCTGCGTAACCATATACCATGAAAAGTGGTTACCAAGGCTGGGAATTTCTGACAAAAATCATGCATAATATAATTTACCATTTAGAAGTGCAGCATATTTTCAAAATCTTATGAGGACTCAGTATTTATCTTAGCCTGCTTCGATTGAAACCAAGCACAATGAGCATCAAAACACATTTCAAATCTTTGCAGTAACTCTACTTTTATTTTACAGCTTTATAGGATTACAACTCCAATATCCGAGTGTCATGTGGTACTTTAACTATCAAATTGAGACAAAAAAAAAAACAACACCCATCATCAAATAAGTTTCAACAAACTGTTTATTTTCTTCCTTCTTTTCTGTTGTCATTCACTTGACTCATTAATAATAATAATTATTGTTATTATTTCTTTGTTGTAGAGACCTCTATGCGCTTAAATTATTACCCCCGGTCACTGGATCAAACACATATGGAACACACACTCAGGCCCTATGGGGGAATTCCATAATGTTGCAGCTGTATTCAGCGCAGGTTGTGTTTGAACCTACTAGGTACCCACTTGTACTCCTGGGTGGAGAGAGACAACCGTAGATAAAGTGCTTTGCCCAAGGACACAAGCGACTTGCACAACATTGAAACACCTTGTTGAGTCAGCATAATATAGAGGCTAACTATAAACAAAACAGTACATTTTTCTAAAGACATGCCCCAAATTGTAGTTTACAATTAACAAGCTAAAATAATAAAATGCAAAATAAGCCAAGCAATAGATTATGCTTCTATATATGGGCAGTTCCATAGTTATGGACGTACATTTCAGAGAACTTAACAAAGCCTTCAATACAGGCCAATGGGTTTGGGTTACTTTTGATATGGACATCTGAGGTACACCAACTAGTGCTATAACCATGACAACTATCAGCCCTCTATCTTTTATAATTTATGAGTAATGTTCTAAAAATAGCCGGGTTATGGACGTACGCAGAGAAAACAACTTTTTCGAACTTACATTAAACATTTTAAAAATTCTGTGAAGTGTGAGGTCTAAAAAAATAAATAAAAATATGTGTGTATACAATGGACTTCCTAATATAATTTAACTAGCCTCATTTATTGATTGTACATAGGTTTTCCGTTCATTTTCTTGTGGTTATGGACGTACACACTCATGGTTATGGATGTATGTGTCTGAAAGTTGTGGCCGTACACCTATATTTTTTCATAAAAAACATACACAAATTAGCCAATATCAACTTCCAAACATCATTTATTGAAATAAAGCAGTAAAACTTTTTAAAATGTGTACTATGGACTATAAACCTCAAACAAAAATTAATCCATTTTTCATACACTATTACTGTACAATAAGTGATCCTGAGAAATTGATTATAGTATCATGTGTTTCAAAGGTAGGTACATTTATTTCTATAAACTTTCATTTTCTTTTCTTATGTAGTATACATTGTAGGCTTACTACATGTGAATTTATTTTATATTTCTAAAATATCATTACAAATAAAAAGTAATTCAGAATGCATCAATTATTAATGTTAAATTTTTAACAAGCAAAATTCTAAAATTCTAGGTAGCAGTCCAGCAATAAAGGCAAATTTTCTCACTTTTTTAAAATGTCAGTCTATACATTAATTGTTTTCTTCATTGTGATATAAATCAATTGTGGTTCTATACTAAACACTAATTAATCAACATGATGTTTGTCTATTTAAAAGTCAAGATATTCATAAAATATTAAAAGTCAACTATTTTCTTAAATGCATATTAATTCAAGAAATGTTAATGTCATGAATAAACTTTGGTTACAGTTATGATGAGGTATGCCATCACAAAACCAGCATATATCTACAGTATTAAATTAAGTATAGCATAAAGAATATTGCAGTATTGTATACTTTAGAACAGAGAAGCCATAATAATTTTACTCATAACTTTGGCAATAATAAAGTCGATTCCGTTAATGACCCATCATTTTAAAGCTTACAGAATGTGGAGAATAAGAATGTTAAAAAGTCAATTTTCATATTTTGGTCACTGATTTTTGGGATAGCAAGCCTCATATTGTAACATACTTTAATCCAACTAAAAAAAAAATCATTCTCATTCTCACAGAGTTTTTAAAATGTTAAATATATGTAAGTCATTTTCTCTGCGTACGTCCATAACCGGCTATTTTTAGAACATTACTCATAAAACTAGAGGGCAGATAGCAGTGTCATGGTTATAGTAAAAGTTGATAAAGATTCTCTCTGAGAAAGAACATCAGTAGATTTTTAGTTTCCACACTGTTTACAAGATGTTTAGTGGTAACACAATTCACATTTTAGGTTTTAGTTATGGACGTACGGTTATGGACGTACAGTACGGTTATGGACATAAATTATAGCGTAAATATTTACTTTAAAATCGGAGATTAAATTTTTTTTTTAGATGATTACACTTGGGACCTAAAACCTGCTTTGCAAATAATTTTGGTATTATACAGAAAAATTTTAATACCTGATATTTAAAAAAAATTGAAATTTTGGTTATGGATGTGCAAAAAAAAATTAATCTAATTAAAATTGAATTAATGCAAACTCTGACAATTATTTTTTCTTTTTTTTTGTTATAGTCTGGCAGATATTTTAGTACACTTTGATATAAAATAATAATTTATCATAAATGAAGTGTTTAACTTGTTTTATACAGTTATGTGTCAATTTACATGTTTTTTTGGTAAAATGCATAAATTTGATACTCTTAACTTCAAACCCGATAATGATATATAATATATATAAAAATTGATGTAAAATTATTTGTACCAGAAAGTATATAGTATGAGCTTCAAAATGACACCTCACTTGGGTAGGTGCAGTAAATATGAAAATTTGATGACAAGGTTGAACTTTCGGTGGAATTGCCCTGGTTCTTCTTTAATATAGGAAATTTGAGTTAGGGTCCCATGGGCTCCTGAGGCAGCTGCACTGTATCATCATCCCTGGGCATGGAGATGTTCTTAGAATCTTTTAGAAAGACTTAAAGTCAGGCTCTGGTGAAAAAAAAAATTTAATAGGCCTACATGTATGTTGTAGAACTAATTTTTTAGGAAAGGGTGTTTACACCCCCTTTTTCCTCCAGTTTTTAAATATTAAAAAATCTGTATAAATAAAACTATTCCCAAGTCAAACATCTTTTTTGTGATTGTGATTTTGTGTTTTGTGTCTTGAAAACTGGAGGAAAACAAATATTTAACTTGTTGTAGAACTGATTTTTTTTAAGACAAAAGGGTGGTTAAACCCCTTCTTACCCCAGTTTTTAAATATTCAAAGATCGGTATCTCACCAACTGTTCCTGAGTTTTTTGTCAAACACCACTTTTTGTGTCTTAGAAAAATTAGCTGGCTTTCAAAATGTGCACAGGACCTTAAATTGGAAAACAAAGACTGTAACATGCACCAAAGCTTCTCAACATCTTCATTCCATAATATCAGAATTGAAAATACATATTTTGTTTTGAAATTTCAGGAAATCAGGAAACTGGAAAGCTGCGGGAATATTTGAATGGTCCTCCATTGCAGATTGAAGTTCACGACCGAGATAGAACAATTAAGGAAGCCAAACTTAAGCCTACTTTATTTGGGGAGGACATGGAAGATGATAAAATAGGGAATGTAGGAATGGTAACAGGTACAAAATAATAAACAATATTAAGATATTAAATATATTAAGACATTTTAAATTTGCTTGTTTATGCACATAAGATGAACATGATTTAAAAATTAAAACAATTGTATGTGTTGCACGTATATTAAGATAACCTTCTGTTTTTTATCGTAATTTGTTACTTTAAGCCTCGTCTGATACGCGAGAACATATGTGGCAAAGACAAGCCAAAACCAGTCACTCGTCGCAAATCATGTCTCCAAGATAATGGCCAAAACATGCTGAAAGTCAAAATTTTTGAAATCTATATTATTGCACAACACTAAAATTTATATAATTATCTATACATCATAATATGCTGTTATTTTCCCCGTTTTCAATGTTAAAACAAAAATTTTTAACAATTTGGAGATGTTTTCTGTTTGAAAAATGCTCATCTTTGAAGGCTTATTTCTCAAATATTGTTCTTTAAACAGCTGTATGTTTAAACGCTTGTAACTTCATAGGGATATGTCGGATTTAAATGATTCTTTTACCATTTATAGCTCTCATTTACATCTTTAACCCTGTATTAATATACTAAAAATCAATTAACTTGTGCATTGAAATTATTGAATTAAAAAAATGTGTACACTGATTTTTAACCAACAAATTATAATAAAAATAATAAAACACTTCCAGTAACTGATGGATAGACATTTTTTTTAAACACTAATTTCTATGTTCAAGTTACTTTTATGTTACTTCAAAATAGGCAAGTTAATTTCAAAAAATATTTTTATGATTTTTTGATATTTAGCATGGAAAATTACATCTTTAATTCAAAGCTTCCAAGTCTCCCGGATTGCCCTGGAGTCTCCAGGAATTTTGGTTCATCTCGCGGTCTCCAGGAACTTCCACATTTTCTGCCGGAATTTCAATTTCACTTGTATTTCTCCAGGATTTTAACAGATTTTCACTATTATGGCTTATGCTAAGCTAAATTTTCCCATTCTTATGCATTAAATCTGGCAGACATAAGATTTATTGAGCATTCTAGGCAGCAATATGGTATTAACAGTGACCTAAACCTGCCCAAGCCTGTTTGTTTTTTTATTGAACAAGGCAATAAATTTGTACACGTGTGTCTTTCTACATGCGTTTTAGCTACTACACACCAGTGGCGTATCTAGAAGTCCTGGAATGGGGGCGAGAAGGTGAAGTGTGGGCTTGATGATCAGTTGAGGGGCGCTATTTCGCAAAATAAGGTGATTTTAGGTGGTTTTTAACTACTTGACCGTGATTTTTTGGGGGCAACTGGGCGCGCAAGTGCAACATACTGCTACATACTTCACAAGCCTCAACCTGTCCTGCACGACAAAATCTCCAGGAATTTGACTTTCACAACTAGCTTGGGACCCCTGTTAATTTATAGATAATCATGATCTACTTTTTCAGGTAAAAGAACACTTTATAATCCATTCAAAGAAAGGACACGGCCATGGGATCCGTACGGTGTGGCAAAATTTGATTTATCGCAGTTATTACTAGGTGAGAAAACCTTGTACATGACGTCACCTATCCACTGCTGCCCTATACCAGATGTCATCGGCAGGGGTGTCGACAGTAAACTGATCGGAGTGCCAAACGCTGTTGATGGGCCAAGTAAGTAGCGTATCCAATTCCAATAAACTATCAGGTTACTGAAATGAGCTGTTAGCAGTGACAGCGCCAGAATTTCCTGAATGGGTGGGAGTGCTAAGCTTCCCCCGACTTGTTCTAAATACTCCAACGGAGACTAGCTGGGTCTAGAGTCGAATAAGCATCTAAAAAAAACTGAAAAAGCGGGCCATTTTAAGTTGAACTGCGATATTTTGCATGTGTAATGCCTAAAATTTTGTGTGAAAAACAAATGAAATCTCACATTGTTTTTTTGGTCTAACGATTTATGTCCACAGGGAGATTAGCCTGTCCACTGGTGCCGTCGGCTGACTATTAAACCATGAGTCACTATAACAACTCCCTCTAATATCCTGAATGTTACTTGACTTGTTCCACAAGCTTAGCTATGAGGTCACATTTGTGTAATTAAGTGATACTTAACTCCATGCATGTGGATATCCTGATTTTTGTTGAGCTAATTACTTTACTAAACCACACATGAGGCCAGATAGTAATTGTTTGGTATTATCTACCTCCTTAGGGAATTGAATCTGATATCCTGAATTGTTTATCGTTGCTCCATAAAAATGATAAAATATGTATAAAATTTAAATATAATTTTAAAGCAGAAAATAAATGGTAATTTATTAATATTAATATAATATAATAAAATAAATTTATTTATTTGGCAAAAATGCACAATAAATTAGTATGTAATGTGAAGCACTTAGAAGCCTTGATAACATGAAGCACTATAAAACTTAATCATATTATTATAATTAATATAATTATATTATAATAATAATTAATGATAAATAATAATAATGATTATTTACGACTTATATTTGTAGTAGAATAACATTATAATAATATTAAAATATAATAACTAAAATGATGATAATAATATTTATGTAATTATAATGTATAGAAAGGTACTGTATTTTTCCACAAGTAAGGCAATCCACGTATATGACGACTTTTGAGTTTGAAAATATTTTTTTTTTGACAATTTTTGTAACTCGTCAGAATTCCAACTTTTGTGCTCTGTATGGTCTTGACACTGCATCTAGGTAGCTAAAAATGGCATCAAATGTAGGGCTAATCTTTCAAATACTACCATTTTATGGACTTTTAAACTTTTTTTTCCCTGCATTTAAAATTACAGGGGTCCCAATTTTCCTAAGTCGCGGGAGTCTGTCAGAAATGGTGACAGCAGCAGAAAAATAAAATTAAATATGTTAAGAAAGCTAATTTAGCCAGATCTCCCGGAAGGAATTTTTACCGACTTTTGACCCCTAAAATCGTGTTCATACAAACAGTAGCGTCATATCAGTAGTAAATTTGCATGGACGATCTGCACATACTACGAAAACAGTCGTTTGTGTTGTGCATATGAGATGGCCTCTGTTTTTTTTTTTATCGTAATTTGTTATGTTATTAATAATAATTCCTTTAATTTCAATCATAACATTGTAAACAATTTTTCATTGCTCACACCTGCAGAAGATGAACCAATGCCTGTAGGCCATTACCTTGGTGTGAACTCCCAGCTGAAAGTGCGGATCGAAATTGCTTACCCCCTCACCACTCTACAACAAGTCAAAGAAAAACCAGTCTTGCCAACTCCCGAAGAGGTAGGAAACTATGGAAGAAAAATAATCATTTGATATATTGTAATATTTTATTTTTATTTTATTTGACTTTAAACTGGACACAGCAAATTTCAGTGAGAGGACATATTTAACAATCACCTCTAAAACGATAACCATAAGGCAAAAAATTATAAAAAATATAAAAATCAAGGAAAAAGTTGTAAACGACAAACAAAATATGGCCAAATTATTTGTATGAGATTAGACTATATTATTTATAGTAACAATAATTCAATCTCTATTTAAATAAATTTTTACATATGATTTATAAAAATACATAACACTGGATTAAAATGTAAAATTATATAATACAAAATGTGTAGCATAGAATGAATGTTACACCAAAGGTCATGATTCGATGTTTCAACCTTTATGAGCCATCTTCAGGATTGCTGAAGGTGGCCCGATAAAGGTGAAAATGTTAAATCATATCCTCTCTCTCATATTTGGAGTAACATTTATTCTGTGTTATTTCAAAAAAATGTATAGCATTTGAAAAATACTATCAGAATCACCATCATCATTGGAGGGTGAGTTAGCACAGCTGTTGGGTTGGCACAGCTGTTAGGTTTACTTCGGTACGAGCAGTGGTGACGCTAATGGGGGGGGGGCACGGAAGGCATTTTCCCCCCATTGGACAGCCCTGAACCTTGTCATTTGACGCCATGATGAGGTCGGCAGACCGAAACTAATAATTTGCCTATCCAAAACATTTTTCTTGCCAATCAAAAAGATTGTAGTGTAAAAGCACAATTTTGGCCCATAACTATGCCATAAAAACTCTCCCCATGAACCATACCATTGAGGCTCTAGTCGGCCACTGGGTTCAGACCCAGCTGTCAGACATGTCGGACCCCTCATCGTCAAATTTCTCGAGCCACCACTGGGTACAAGACGAATCTATTTTTTGAGACCTGTCAATTCATCCTTGCTTGTGTTTTTGGGTGAGACACCGTGCCCTAACTACTTCGCCTTTCAGATGGGAGGTTAAGTCGCACGTGTATAGGAGCATGTGTGCAACAAAAAAAAAAAAACAAACTCAGTACACTTTTCGAAAGAGAGTAGGAGATTGACCTCTACTGACCACTGTAAGTGCTGCAGTGCAGCTTCCGCGGGTCCGCTAAATATCCTTGTTGATTTTCTAACCATATGCATATAGAGTGGAGTGATGACGTTTTGTCCTTCCCGACGAGTTTTCGTACAGAATACTCAGTACGTCCCTAACTACTTGCAAAAAAAATGTGCAAATAATTCAGGTGGGAATCAAACCTACAACCTCCAGATATCTATAGCCTGGTGCCATAACCACTAGACTACCGAGCATGAGCATGGAATCTGATATCCATGTAGCAGCGGGTGTTGCAAATGCTATTTCGATGTGGATTTGCATCAAGAAAATTTGAAAGTGATTCAAGTTGGAATTGAACACACAACCTCCCTCGAATAAACACCCTCTCAAAATACCTTCTCATCAATAAATGCCCCAGGGCATTAATTTGAATATATACGGTAATCTTTGGTTTAGTATTCATTACAATGACACAAAGTTATTCACTTGACATCATTTTGCTTTCAGTGTCCCTTCGCTAGGTTGGTTTATGTCTTCTGTTACAAGAACACATGTTTCCTACATAGTCTTGAAACGCTAATAACTGAAATTAACGCCAAGGCACTCGGCCTTGATAATATGCCAGACCATGTCATCAAAGCTGCTCTATCAACTTACAAGCTGTCATAGTAAGTTACTTATAAATATTTATATTTGTTTATAGGCCTTTCTGCTTAGTATTATTATAAGAGGAGTGAGTTGTAGAAGGTAAAGGTACTTACATTTCAATACCAGATTCATGGGCTCAAATCCCATAAAAAAAAGCCCTGTCCAGACTATCAAATTTTCTTCGACAAAAACATATGACATGCCTAAATATGGTCATGATGACATCACAACATGACCATATATAGGCACATCATGACTATATCAAGATGAAGGGCAAGTTTACCTTGATTAAATCAGCTGATTAGAATTATAGACTAGGTTAACCCTGGGATTGCCAGTACTAAAATCCCTAAATCCATCTACTCATTTCCACAGGATTTTCCAATGAGGTCACCTAGAAATAGGTTGTTTTAATTAATTAGCTTTCATTTTCATAACATAATTGTCACTCGGCTTTCTTTGGTATGCATTAGTGAACTACTGATAGGATGTCTATCTTGGCCTTGTATTGATTTTCTGCATGCAATCAGCATAGCACGCATACAAGTGTAGTGAATCGGGACTAGTACACCAGATAATAATAATAATAATAATAATAGTAAGATCTTTCTTTTACAATGGAAGCTCGTTCACCAAGGAGGTGTTCTTCCACGAGGCCGTATATGTACCTTTAACATATGGTATCAGATCATGAAATCAAACAAGAACTACTTACAAATACAAATAATGGATAAGGAAGAAACAAAGATACTACCAAAAAAATTGTACACTTAAAAAATTATGTTGAAATAGTGGTACTATTTTTTGTGGTCTCGATCAATATTGTTCCACAAGTCAGCACCACGATATGCCAAACTCTTTTTTTTATACTCTGTATTAGGTTTATCTATGTACAGGTTATTTGTAGATCTAGTATTATATGCTGATTGCCTTTGTGAGAATTTAATTCTTAAATAATTGGGAGTCAAGTCATTCATTATTTTGTACATCATTACTTTTTCATTGAAAGTAAGTCTATCTTCAAGGTTGGACCATTTAAGTCCTTCCAGTGCCTGCGTACTAGAATCATATTTTTGTTTATTTGTTCTTATTTTAGCTGCTCTGTTCTGTAATACTTGTAATTTACTACTTAATGTTTTGTTACATCTACCCCACACAACATTGCAGTAATCAAAGTAAGGGGCTACTATAGCATTGTACAACACTGATTGCATAGGGATTGGGAGCAAGTAGCTTGATTTCTTTAGGTAGAACAAGCCTGGAAGAACTTTGGTGCTAATATGATCTACATGTTTATTCCATTGTTTCATCAACTATTACACCTAAATGTTTACAATGAGTAACTCTTTGAAGACGGGTACCATTGATGTGAATATTTAAGTCAAAGTTTGATAACCGAGATAATTTTTGATGTGTACCAATAAACATTAATTCTGTCTAATATCTACATTCAAACTTAGTCAATACTGGATAACTCTTTTTCCGCATTTTCAAGGTCAAAATTGATTCTGTTAATAACTTCATTTACATCTTTTTAGGTATAATAGAGTGCAGTGTCATCTGCATACATACTCACTGTCACATGCTTAACAGTATTAGGTAAATCGTTATATAATAAATGGCAATGGCCCAGCTTATTTGGAGGATTATTTTATTCCCATCAGAAATACACACAGTATTAGTACACGAGCGAGTGAGGGGTCCGTAATTATTCCTAGACATAGAACTTCCATATTTAAAAGTACTTTTAAGATCACAGGGGCTACTGAATGGAACAAGCTTTCGGTTGTCACTCAGAAAACTTCCAGTATTTTACATTTTAAATGTATTGTTAAAAGTAATCTGTTAAATATAATTTTAAAAGAGTAATAATTTATATAAGACCATTTTATTTGAATTTTATCATGTTGAAGAAAATTATTTATTTGTTTTGCCAAGTGTTTTGTGTGAGGACCACAATGGAAATAAGTTTTAACTTAAATAAGTTTTAACTTTTTTGTTTTATCCACGGAATTCTTTTTTATCATGCTGTTATATTGTTTTGTATTGTATGAGTTCCAAATAAAATTAGTCAATCCATTTTATGTAGAAAGTTCATGATAACAATTTTGATTAACACCCATAGAAAAAACACTCGAGAATGCTACGGAAGCTATTTGAACACTAATTCTACAGTAATCTGGTCTAAAAACATCAACCCTTAATGTAACACTCGTGTTGAAATTATGAGTACGCATTACACAGTTGCATACATAATAACTAGCAAGCAACTGTGAACAACTTGGAGTCTCATGTTGTGAGGCGACATGAGAACTGTTCAATCAATAGCAACTAAAAATGGCCATTCGCTCCTGGTTGCTTTCAGTTGTCCACATCCTCTTATGCTGCGATCCAAAGCAACTGACAAGATGTCTAATGAACATGCAACAGTACACTAGTATGCTATGCGTGCTAAGGCCGCTGGAAATACATTACATCTTGTTAGCTACCCGCTCATGATTTTAGGCCCTGTATTAACAAAATTAATTTTTTTAAAAGAAAACACTGAGGTTAATAGTCAATAAGTACAGCTGATGATACTTTTGATTTAGTTTTGGTATATTTTCATAAAAATCCGACTCACCTAACTGTGAAATGCACTCAAACCATTGCATCATGTTTAATCGATCATAGAGTGTGTATAATAGTCCCAGAACGACATGCATCTGTATTTTAAATAGACAGGCAAACTTTGAAAAATGAAATTTGACAAAAATCTGTCAACAATTTTTTGAGAAGTGCTGACAAGAACCATGTAATGTATTTCCAGCGGCTTAACGTTGCATCCATTTATGGTAGTGTTGCATAGCAACTGGTCTTACTAGTTGCTTCATATGTAGTTACATGGTTACAAGTGAAAGTGAGTACTACCGACACGAGTTGAGTTGCAAGGGTGACTTAACTTTAGCTTCACACCATTTTACCAACCATTTAACTACGCTTCCAATCCTTTCATTGACAGTGATCAACAGACGAGCACTGAACTTGACATTGTTACAGGATTCCAGATATTAGATGGTGAACAGCATATATTCATCCTTGAAGGCTTACGCGATAAAGCAATTAAAACTCTATGGAACAATTTACCGAGGCAAAAAGCCAAAGGTAGGAAAGCTAATGAAATTAAAGCTATAGCTTCGTGGTTAAAGCCCCGGACACATACTGTATTGTACGATGGTCGTATGAACATCAGCCGACGAATCCATCTCCACTCTCTTTGTGAGTGTGTTACCATGTAACACTGTCTGTTAATTGTTGGTGGTGTTCTGAGTGGATCTTCTTTAAAAAAAGATCTGTTGCACACGCTTCTATGCTTTGCATTCTCCATGGAATTGCGTTGGCTGGCGTCCGTTTAAGCAGTGTGTGCTCCTGTAAAGATTTTCTTCATGCTTTTTTAACCTGGTGATATCATTGCTACATTATTAAAACTTTGATATCCTAATAACAAATTAAATGTGAAGTACACACTAAATGATTTACTTGCACGATGAAAACCATTTACACAATTTAAAAGTACAATTTATCTAATTTTTTGCACAATAAGCAATGAGAGGCAGTTTAGCGCAGCGATTTCCATTCAAGTTCTTGTTCTGAACCTCGTTGTCGAGAGTTCGAACCACACACTGATGAATCTTGGCTGGCCATGCTTAGTTACCCAGCTTGCACTGTTGACAGGTTGTGAAGTGGCTCACGCTGTTTCAGCCCTAGGTGCGAGCATTTCATGGCCTATAAACTAAATAAACATAAATATATAATAATGTGGCCGCCTCTCATCAATATTGATGGTAGCATCAGGCCTCACTTACCAAGACATACAAAAAAAAAAAAATGATTACAATATAACTCACAGTAAACTATTTATAGAATTTAGTGGATGTACTCACCGTGCTGTTCAAACTGAACTGACATAGATAAAAATGTTCTGTTATCAATATCCCAAGTGGCTCTGATTCCAAACGGATGTCTGCATTTCTGTTTTACTAAAATATTTTGGATCACTTCATTCGAAAAAAGACAAATAAAGAGGGCATATGATTCATCATTACTACTGTAATTTCTGAATCTGCATTTCACAATATTGACAGCTCAATTTTACAAGACGTTCTTGTAGATTTGTTTCACAGCACTAGCATTGTGTAATACTACATTTGAAAACTCTGCTTTGTAACATTTTGCTGAATGAATGGTGTTTCCTGTTGTACTCATCCAAAAAAATTATACTGTATATTTATATGCAGCTCCATTCCATTACAATTTCATTGGTTGCTGTGTTCTACAGTTTCTGCAGCTGCTGTATGCCATCATGACCCGTTCAATCCCATAACAGTTTCATTGGTGATTTGGCGACATACTGTAGCTAGGTTATGACTAGATTTATTGCCTGTCCCTTTGGTGTGAAACTGAAAATTAAGTGTCCCTGGTAGGGTCAAACACTTTATTTACATTTGCCTCTCTTTGCCCAGGAGTGTAAACTTGTACCTATAATCATGGTATAATTGATTCTGTGTCTAATCACCAAGCAAAAAGTGCCGTGAGCAGTTTTCTGGATATGTGCGCTATATAAATCCTATTAAGTAAATAATTATATTATAGGTAAACAAGAAATATTTCCTATAAAAAAAATGCTGCAACATATTTAATTTATGACTGGCTTGTATTTCCAAACTTAATAAATTAATGTATACTTGAGAATAACCTACAGTATATCATCTTCAATGCATTTCTTTTATGATACGACAAATGAGCATAAAAATATAGCCTACAGGTAGAATTGGTTTATGACTGGTATAACAATAGCCACAAAGTTATTTACATTTCGATCACAGGACTGAAATAATAAAAAATATACTAATAGTACTCCACATTGGAAATGTACAGTAGAAAGTGTGATATATGATTTGATGTAGGCGTATGCCTACCATATACATTTTCTTTATAGCTTGTGTTCTTACTATATTGTTGTTATGATTATTATTAATGATAATATTATTTTTTTAATAACTTATATTATTTATTTGTATTAAATTTTAAAAAATATGTTTTATTATTTTTATTATTCTGCCGACTGGGTTGGACGAGTTATAGATAAATTCCATCATATCCGATTTTAATGCTTTAGACGGCCTAGGCCCACCCCCCATACCCCAACTAGCTAGGCCTAATGCTCTCAGTTTCTGTGTGGCTATATTTTTCTTCAGATGGATGCATACAGTACGACGAAGAGCATATGTACGCTATCCTTCTTCAGCATACAGCACCATACCTTTCGAGACAATGTGACTGCGACTTAGTCTAGGCTTGCCCCAACTACTTGGCTATTAGTAGCTACCCAGGGAGGCCAAGCCTAGGTTGTGTTGTCAGTTTCTGTGGTTATTTTTTTATCCAATTGTCAATGCATACTTACGTACGATGATAGAGCAAAATAAACTGTTGTTTGCGATAACTTAATTACAATTTTTCCTGACGATTATATGATGCACTTTAGGCCTTCGATAGCCAAGGCTTTTCGACCAGAATTCTCATTATTTTCAATTTTCATAGCCATGCATGATCGCGTCAGCTTGAGTTGCGCATGCTTAATTGTTGAATAAAAAGTTTGACTTTTTCCATTTCTATTTCATACCCTCTTCGCAGACACTGATTCTTGAGACTTCTTTTTGAACTGCTTGACATCGTCACTTCTCAGTACTCCACAACTCACTTGCTGGCATTTCCAAGCGCATGCTCACTGTGTTTTTATACATCATGCTGTTACTATCCCATTTACCAGCAAACCCTTTAAAAGTGCATTCAGGCGGGTTGGTGAACCAGGTTTTGCCAGAATCTTATCTCAATAATTCAATTAAACATCAAAGAAGAATACCACCCCTACTTAAGAGTCATTATCACAGCAGGCATTGCTGTTTCTCAATAAATTACCAGTATAGTATTTAAAAACCAGGCTGGAAAATTTTAAAAACCTGTTGTTAAACAAAAATTGGCATTTTTATTACCTTAGCTATAATTTCAGATAAAAATCATAATAGATATGCTTTTGAATTTTAATAATCAATGACTTATGTTAGAAGTTACAACATGGTTTTTGATTTATTTGTGCTAGTCTTCTTATGAACTATTCACAACTAATGAGCTTCACTGTTAATCTTGTTACAAAATTCCCTGAAGCAGTAATTAATAGAGATAAGAAGAGATCGGCAAAACCTGGTTCAAAAATTGAAAATTTGGTAAATGGTGAAGTTTCCTCATGTATTATACAGACGTTCTTTAGTAACTGCGCTTGCGCATTCTTTAGTTTGGAATACCGCTACCTACAGTTTCTTAATGACCGTTTCGTCTTATCATAGCAGCCTAAAGGTGCAGCGCAAAAAATGGCTTCCCACATGTGATATTTGAAGAGTGGCCCTTGCAGACTTAGCAGCTAATTTAAAAAGTAATTAAAAGTATAAACTATGAGGTACAGTACATAAATATTAAACATGAAGTGAACAATACTTGTTAATTGTGTAGCGCTTTACCTTGCAGTTAGGAAGCCCTGTTAGCCACTCCACAAAAGTAAAAAATCCCCCCCCCACCCCTCTGAGTAGAGCTTGCACAGAACCAAACCCAAACAAAGTGTGAAAACTTAAGTATTACAAAGCAGTAACTTGAAGCAAAATGTTTGATTAAAAAATAAAAACAAAACAAACAATAGTAAAGAATTGTTGCTTATAAAATTATTATTAAAGGGCCTGCTGGCCAATTTTTTTTTAATTTTTTTTTTTAAGTTGGAAATGTTTTTAACTTTAAATATATTAGGTATGTTATGGAACTCACCCCCCCCCAACCCCACCACCACCTCCAATAGCCCAGGGCCCAGTGATTTGCACTGGCTACACTGTGAATAACTATGCTATTAGAGCGATTTTATTTCACAGAGCGATTGCTGGGCCATCATTTCTGGGTTTTTTTTCTCAGCATCTGATTAAATACATTACAAAAGCAAGGTCAATATTCACATTGCAAAAAAAAAAAAAATAAAAAATGAGTTCTGAACAATGCAAACATTTTTCATTGATCAAAACATTATCAAAAATAAAATAAACGAAAAATTGATTTAAAAAAATTTTTTGGATGCCAGGGTAACCTTAAGATAAGTGTCTGTTTGTAACGTAATCTGCAACTGTCTTGGCAAAGCCAAAGAAACGACAAACTCACTTTTCATCACAATGAAGGCAGAAATCATCAAAGGGGTATACAAATGTATACTGTTTGTTCCACAATTAAAGGCAAAGCTCTTTTCCAAGCCTCATTAGACTCTCTCTGGACATTTCCCAGTAATGGCCTGATGAAAAGCTTCTTCCTGGGCAAAGCTCTTTGCAGGGCACACTTGGTGTCACCTGTCATTTTAAATTTATTTATTAGTTTTAGATTTCAATCTCAATTTCAATCTGGTCATTTATATATACAGTAGCGCCTTTCTTGACAGATATGAAGCACTGCACCCTACATACTCAAGCACCTCACAACCCACAGGTAGTTATGATCAATGCCAACGCAAGCACAGAACATGTAAATAAATCAAAAGAAGCAGTGGAAGTTCGAAATCATAAATAAATAATGCAACAATAAATATAATAAAGAATAAAGACAGTTTATTAAAGAGGTGAGTCTTTAAGTTAGGCCTAAATACAGCCACAGATGGTGATTTCTGAGCTTTTTCTTACTGAACACACAATTACTGTCATCACAGCAATTGTCAGTGACATAGCTGTGCACTAAAATTTGCATAGAGTATAAAGCACTTTATTCTACTTGGTCAATATTTTCCAACACATCAATTTGATATTCAAGAAGTAACAACAAGCCATTCCAGATTTCCAACTGTACATGTTTATGTCGAATGTCAAATCACATTAACAAAGAAAGTACACAAAGTATGAAACATATGTGATGAGATTCTAATTTTTATGTACATATTTCCAATATTAATACTGTAGTTATTTAAGGTAACTCAATGTTCACAATATTTTACCATGGAGATCAACAGCAGTAACAATTTATCCTTAAATATTTGTGATTCAAAATTTTTCTGATTTTCTGACATTGTAGTATGCCTTGTACCTGTATGAATGTTTGTTTATGTGAGTTCACCTTTGATATAGTTATGTGTAGTTGAAACTACAGAAGTGTTTATTAATTACATAACTGCATTTTCACATTCTGTATGTATGTGCTTTCAGAGGATACAATATTTGAGGCTCTTTATAATTCTGACTTGATGTTCTCTGAGCGCATATATGCTGCCCTAGATGTTGACCTGTGTCGCATTAGACTCCACGAACCACTCAGCATCATTGTCCAACAACCGCTGCTCTACATCCGTGATATGGTACCACGCCTTTGCTTAGAGGCTATCATAAGGCTTGATAAGGTAGGTTTGATAGAGGGTGTTCTACTTCTCTTTATTGAACCTTTTATATACAAGTGAATTTAAACTCCTATTTAATTACAGTATAAATTTATTCTCTGTTTTTTTGTTGCTTTTTGCTTCTTACAATACAGCTTCTGACGTGTAGTAAGTTGAGACAATTAACAAAAAACAATCTCTTCCCATCCACAAAAATGGTTTTGTCTCTGAGTCGGGAGTTTGGAATCCCGTTGACCACAACTGACTTTGAGGGTGAGTTGAGAAATCGTATAATATTTAAATCAGTACAGTTTACTGTAGCCATACGCATCTTTAGAAAGTATTTTTTGAAATTGTAATCTTTGACAATACTTTTCTAGAAATTTCAGGTTATATATTTTCAAGGATTCACCTTGGCATCCAAATTTGATGATGGAAAAAGCTGTATAAGATTCAATTTTTTTTTAGTAGATATCTAATACAGTATTTCTGTCATAAAATCGGGGAAACAACCCCTAAAACATTTATATAATGCTCATTTGAAAGGATCAAGGATCATGTACTACATCAACAAATGGTCTGAGGGAGTGGAGTTGCTTTTTAGTTTTATCCTGCTACATTAACCCACAACTTCTTAGTCCAGTCAACCTGTGGATTTACCCAGAATTAATTTCAACAGAAATCATTTTTTTTGGAATAATTTCTGTTGCAATTAGTTCTGGGTTCATTTATATTAATCATAATTTTGTCACAGATTGGCTGGAATATCCGCAAGCCAAGCATCTTAACCACAAAGCTAAAGCAAAAAAAAAAAAATTTAATTTATACCCAGCCAACTTAATGATGTATGTCACGATTTTCAATTATTTTTCCACAGAATTAAAAGTCTCCAGTAAGAAAGTTGAAATGTTGGCTGATAGTGAGCGCTCACAAACCATGCCAGTTTTGAAAGATAAACGCAAAGAGTGGACACCAATGGACAATTATAATGACGAGTACTCAGAAATGCTGATGATGCGTGAACAAAATGGACAAATGCATAACTTCATCCAGGAAAACATTGTAAGTAAAGTTGTAGTCACTTAAACCTGACAAAAAAACTGTTGTATGCCCATATATAGTCATGATGTATGTCTATATATGGTCATGATGTGATGTCATCATGACCATATTTAGGCATGTCACATGTTTTTGTCACATAAGTTTTTGTAGTGTGGCCATGGCTTTGTGTATGAACCAACAGCCAGCAGATGATTCATTGGTGTGAGGTGGCATACTGTACCTAGCAGTATTCACATGGAGGCTGATTGCTGGGCAAGATCGTTAATTGGGAACCTCGATGATTATCTTTTCCAGTCAACCCAAAGTTATCATTAGTTTTAGCTTTGAAATCACGGAGGCACCTCGAGTATCCTATTATAATTACTTCTGTTTCCTGCTGCACAGCTATGTCAAGTTTTGTAATTTAATTTGCTTTTTGATGCATTGCGTCAAATTTTGAAAGTAAAAGAAAAAATGGCAACTCCCATTAAAACAATATGGTTGATGTTGTTAAGTGATTGGTTACTAAATTGGCTGCTTAGAAAATTTTAAGGGGCAGGGGCGGATCCGGAGATGTCTAAAAGCGAGGGCTGAAGGGGGTGGGAAGCAATCGAGAGACAAAACTACCCTAGGTTGTCCGAAAATGTTTGTTTTCTAGACACCTGGAAATAGGCTCTGAGACATTTTGGGCAATCAATAATTTCTTTTTCTTTCTTTCTTTTTTTTCTTTTTTTTAACTTTCTGAATGGGGGGGAGGGGGAGGGGGTGGCAAGGTCAGGTTGGCCACCTCCAAAAACCTATCCTGAGAGGGTAGCTAGAAGCAAGATTTTTTTTGCTTCTCAAAAAATGAGATGTTAAAATAAGCAGTGGCACCAAAGATGCCAAAGTTCAAGTGATCTCAATGTATTATTAATGGATTAATTTATTGTAACATCAAGGTGAAATTTTAGTGATGCGTTAAAGTGCTGTTAAGTAGAAGTTTCTGGGGTTTTTTTTAAAGAAAATTAATCATTATCTTACTATAATGTGCATCTTTATGAGGTGTACTTCACATGAACTGTATGTATGGAATTTTGACCAATCATATTAGAGAATTTTGATAGAAAATGTAGATTAAGAACGCAGAACAAATTCACTCAATCGTGACTAGTGCTTAGTGCATTTTACTTTTTATTTAAATCAATTTCGATGAGGTGACAAACGCAAAGGCTACTGCACTTTTACTTGGTCAGTCGTTTGGTATAGTGCAGTTCTGGTGTGAATTTGATGGTATATTGATGTTGTTCTCTTGAATTTTAAGGTTTAATTATTTTGTGGAATTTGTAAAATCTATATTTTTTATATTTATATGTAGATCCTCTCAAAATTCAATTTATTTTGCAATGAGTTTGATAATAAAACCAGAAATGAAGTGAAAAAGGAAATATTCTGATTCATTCATTCAAAAAGGTTCATTCAAAAAGTCCTTAATACACATAATTTGGTCATTTCAGGATTTTGTTGGTGAAGTAAGTTACATGAATGGTATAAATCGCGTGAAGCCTGAAACTGTTCAAGTGAGCCTACCGGATGGCATTGCCCATAATTACAGTACCCAGGCTTTGAACAGCACAGAGCAGGCTAAGGAAAGATTACGTCAACAGCTTGCTAAGGTAAACAGATCATTCATTATTTTAACAGAAATATCCTTGACTTGATCTTTCGCAAGATTAACAGATAATCAGTATGACGCTCTAGTTTATACTAATATAAAAACAGAAAAATTACATAATACTTTTACTTAATTAAATTAATTACTGTAATTTTTAATCTATATCCAGGTAGTAGTAGACTGGGTGTTTGCAAGGACGATAAAACATCTAAAATATATATTTTAAAAATTCTTCATAAGCTATAAAACACTTGCACAACCCATCATGAAGCCCATCCCAAAATGATCAGCATGGTTAAGCATCTGAGTGGAATCCATTGCGCCAAACCAAATACTGTATTACTATTCTTTTTTTTATTTTAATATTTATTTTGATTATTATTACATCAGCTTATTTTAAAATATATTAAAAATATTTTTTTTTTTATTATTTTTTTATTTTATTCAATTTCCAGGAGAAAGAAACAAAGAAAATATACAATAAGTACAATAGTTCCTGCGAGTGACCAAAAGTAAACAATTTAAAGAACTGCACACTTTCGATTGACTTCCCAACTAAAAGACTTACATTAAAAAAAAACAAAGAAATATCCTAAAATTCAATGCTATTGATAACCAGCTTTAGAGCTCTTCTAAACCCTCCAAAATATGTTATCACGAATATCACAAGGAATATGTTCCCAAATTCGTGGAAAGTTCACAAACAAGGAATGAATAATATTTATTTGCTGTATTCAATATATTATATTGAATACAGCAGTAGAAAATCCTTAAACTATATTTAGATGAATCCGTTATTTCACAAACTACAATTAATATGGATGTCAAGTTATAGAAATTCCCTTTTCTTTTTCTATAACAAAGAAACGTAAATTAAAAGTGATGTTAACAACCATAAAGAGAAAAAAACTAGAGGGCACTCGGAGAGTTCATACCTCCGCCTACTGTACATCATAATTCTCTTCAGTATAAATTTCCCCTGCATATTGTCTCCATAAAAAAAAAGACTTCTTGGGATTTGAACCCAGGGCTGGTAGTGTGGAAAACACTCTTCTAACCACTACACCAAACAGTTTTTACATATATCTCTTTGAATTAATGGTCATGTTTGTTTAAATTTTACCGGCAAGCAGTGATACAAGTTTTTTGATTGTTGTGTCCTTGACCTTTGACCCTAACCCTTCAAAATTCAGTCACTTCCAGATCTTTGGTAAAGAAACATTGTGGCCAAGTTTGACGAATTTCTGATAAAAACTATGGCCTGTATGCTGTTCACAACCAAGATGCCGACAAACAAATAAATATTAATAAACACTGGGCAAAAATATATCCTGCTGCTAATTTCGTTGGCAGAGGTAATGAGATCTTTGGTACAACATTGTGACCAAGTTTGTGATTAAAATTATGGGCTGTAGACCAATAAATAAAAAACTAGTTTTTTGTTGATTGTGACTTTGACCTTTCACCATGACCCTTCAAAATTGAATCAGCTCTAGATCTTAGGTAAAGGAACATTGTGGCCAAGTTTGATGAATTTCTAATAAAAACTGTGGGCTGTAGGTTGTTCACAACAAATATGCCAACAGACAAATTAATAACTAAATAAATAAACAGGCAAAAACATAACCTTCGTTGGCGGAGGTAATTAGTTTGAAAATGGGTTACAATTTTTTTTAAAATAAATGATATTGAATTTGAAATTTTCAGGAGCCAAATCATCGTTTCACGCACTGCCCAGACTATAACTCAGCTTCTGTCATTCCAATTAATGTTGATGCTTTTCATCAACAAGAAGCAGAAGAATCCAAGGCAAAGTTCCAAACCTCAAATGGATTTGTTTATCCTGGGGTAAAGAGTGCCCTTTTGAGTAATGAACATCCAAGGAAACCAGATGAAGCCAGGGTGGCTGAAAACATGGAGGTAATAAAAGTTGTCATTCAGTTATTTACAAAATTTTGTTATAATTACACTATAGATAAATGTTACAATCTCATGAATTAGTATTTGCACTAGTATAATTAAGAATAGACCTACCCCATAGTGAAGTTTTAATTCCTTGTTTCAGTATACAGTGTTTCTAAAGCCTCTATCAGACAGAGTTGTCACTGTTATGAAAATATTTTCAGCATTGCTTTTTGTGTGAATGATCCATCTCAGGCCTAGTATTACCATAATATTTCTGTTAAACTGCATTCTTGCATGAGTATCAAACAGGAGCAGTTTGCATTTCCGCAAAAGTACTCCTTACTTGCTCTAAATATACTGTAGATAATGACTTGCATAGAAATTCATGCAGACATGTTGTCAAGTTCAAACAAGTTTAACATTTTTTTCCCTTTTTCTTTAGCCCTGGAAAGAAAATATCCTCCATGCCAATATATTGAAGCCTACCCTCAATCGTGAGCGCTTTCCATGGTCTTGCAGAAACAACGACATTGATGTCTGGCGGAAGCCGCCTAAAGATTTTGGTACTAATTCACCGGCAACAATCCATCAAGCAGGTGACACACTAGACAAAGAAAAAAGGATGGCACAAGAATTGGAGAACATTACTTGGAGAAATCGTCTGGTTGTAGAGGATCCTCAAATGAAATTCCACCGTTGTGCTACAGAAACAGAATTAACCTACAAGGGACTTTTATCAAGTAATCAGATTGATAGGATGCATGGCCTTCTGAAAGACAAACCTCAGAAATTCTCTCTCTTAGGGTCCGGTGCCAGCGACATTCCTGCATTGTCAGTCGTGAACTACCCAAGTGTTGATACGTCAGCAAGAGACGCTGGATTGCCAATCCTGCCGGCCATTGTGGACGATGATAAATCAAAGTATTGCGGCGATATGCCAGGACCTTTTGAAAATCGTAGTTGGAATGTTGCAGCGAATAGAATCGCAATCCGAGACATGGAACACAAAAAATTTGAGGATCTTAAAGGGCAAGATTTTAAGTATGTTCTATGAATTTATTATTTGATTAACACACAAGTTACTAATTCAGTTTGTGTGATATTTGAATGATTGTTATTTTTTTTAGTTTCTATTGCATGCTCATGTCGCACAATTCAAATGCTCCCGAATATTGAGTGGAGTGAGTTAAATACTGTGGTGATTAACACGTTGACTGCCAGACCTTTTTTAAGGTTCCTTCACGTGTGCTAAATCAAGTTTACATGTACAAACATGCTTTTTCGAAATTTTATCTAGTCACATATTATCAAAATGATGTGTCTAATAAATTGGAGGGAAAATATTAGGGGACGACTAAACTCGTCGAAAGCACTTTTTATTGACTATGCCAAGTGCAAGCTATCTTGTCTGCTTTTTGCATGGGTTGGTATATGTTCAAAGGGCGCCCCCACTTGTGCCGCTCGATTGTACTACCGACAACATAACATAACAAACATACATACTGTATGTCATTTGTACATTATTGTCTAGGTGTATCTTCCCCGAACTACCAGCCATTGAGTCTGGTTCTACAATAATAATAATATGCAGAAATTTATAACGTGCCAATTCAAAAATCATTATCAAAGGTGCAGTGAACAATTAACCCAATTAAAGTGATTTTGTAAACAAAAAAGTTTTCAAATTAGTTTTAAATGAGTTTAAATTTGAAGATTTTCGAACAGAAAGAGGTAATAGATTCCAAAGATAAGGTGCCTGAACAGAAAAAGAGCGTTGTCCATATGTTTGTAGCTTTTTCCTTTTTGAAGGGCTTGAAGAAGAAATTTATCGGAAGAACGAAGTCTACGAGTTGGAGAGTATGGCATAAGAAAATGTAGCAAATATGATGGTTGTTTAAAAAAGAGTGTATAACGAAGAAGTTATAAGTGCTAGAATGTTACCTCAATTTTGACGAGTATACTAGTCCCCGGTACCCTCAGCAACACCCTGTGTTAATAACAGTTCCATGAGCATTCTAATACCGCCATATCACATGTAGTCCATGTTACACAAATCAAAAACTCCCGAATATTGAGTGGAGTGAGTTTAAATACAGTGGTTGCCTTCCCATTCCATCATGTCCTGGGTTTAATTCCTGTTACGTTAACAAAATTTTCTCACAACCTAAAGCAACTCCATTACCTAAGTCATATAATGAGACTCTGTGTGTGTGTATGTTTGTCTTCTATAGGGATTGCCACTTTGAAGAGTGATTAAGTTACTCTTTGGCACTATTCTTGGCTCTTGTGCCTAAGTTTTGAATAATAAATAAACAAATATTATAGTATCCTTCTGTAGGACATTAACATGAATTTTTCTGATTTGAATTTTTTTATAGGTTATACCATAAAGAACGAAGTGCGATCTACAAACCACCAATAAAGATGCTTTCTAGAGAAGATAGAGAGACTAATCTTTTCCGTACACTTCCACCAGAGGCTATGAGGACAAAAAATATACTTTTCGGGAATGAGTACTTTGGACAAACTCCAGCAGGTATCCGACCTGCCTCGACCAAAACCGAGTTCTATTACCCTAACCGTGAACAATTTTGGAAGACACCGTGTAAACGAGACCCTTCAAATAAGTCTGTGCTGAAAGGATAATGAAATTGCGTTCTAGAAAGAATTCTACAATAAATAATTCTATACATTTTAATGAAGGAAGTAAATGTATGAGAAATAAATAATATTTAAGAGTCCAGATAGTTTATGCACATTTATTCAGATTACAGTATTCATATTTCTATTGTATAAAAAGTGAATTGGGAGTTTTTGAGAATAAGATTATTTAATGCTTTTAGGAGAATAAAAACATACTCTTTACTATACAAACAACTTTCCATGAAATAGTATTCAACAAAATGGTATTATTGTTGTCATAATGTTGTATTCTTAATTAATGTGTATATATATTTATTCCCTTCCCTGCATATCATTTTTATCCTCCTCAAAACAGCTGGTTCAACAATTGTGGATGTATACATTCCATAAATGTCTGATGTAAAAAATAAGTGAAAGGTCATAAAGAGTTGATAGATGTGTTTGAAAATGCCACTATAATAACATTTGTGTATGTTAACCTTTGATGGTTCCCAACACCCCTGTAGAAAGTACACAGACAATGTGCAAGGTTTGTATGTTTCCCCATGGAGGAAATCATTAATGGTGTCCCCAAGGTAACCACTCCCAATTAATCCTACAAAGAACTACACAAAAGGTGGGTGGTTAAGATTCAAATGTTTCCCCATTGTGATTCCCTGTTTCCACACTATAATAATTGATGTATTTGTACAATATTTTTAATGATTTGTAGATTTCTGGAATTATAACATACATGCCATTACAAACCTGGTCAAAACAAATTTACATTTCAAAATATTATAACATATTTATTTTTAATGCATGCATCATCTGTTATTACTATAGGGGTCATTCCTTAATTTTATTACATTTTTAAAAAAATAATATGTAGATAAATGGATTGGAGGGTTTATTTATTCTTTTATTTATTTGTTTATTTAAAGCCAACAGCGAGAATTGCCACTTATGGGTAAGAAAAATGTAAAATGCAGTGTTAATAATGGTGAGTCATGTGTAGTACGCTTATTTGGTAGATGGTCTATTTTTATTTTATTACAGTTCGTATCAAATCCAAGACCACTCTTGGGACTTGAAATGTTGGGGTTCAGTCTCCAATTAGAGGCTTAGCTTCAGAGGTGGCGCTAGCAAGGGGGGGGGGGCGGAGGGCCAGAGCTCCCCCCCCCCCACCCAGTCGGGAAGAAAACCCACAATTCGTCGGGAAGAAAAACATTTATATGTGTTTTCTACATATTGGTAGACTCCATAATTGATTAAATAAGCCTTTAAAATCCCTAAATTGTCATATATTTTGGGGGCTTGGTCCCCTGGAACACTTAAGGTAGATTTTGAGCGACGTTCAACCACGCCCACATTGTTTTCGTCATGACATCTGCCCCCCCTCCCTCGGACCCCCCGTCGGGCAAATCCTGGCGCCACCACTGCTTAGCTTTGTGTTAAAAGATTGAAGATTGTTATTGGTTTTCTTCAAAAAAGAGGTCTCGAATTAGAGAGGTATCTAATTTGAAGGTGCAGTGTGCCATGGAGGAAGGAAATTTCTAAATTTCCTTCCTCCATGAGTGTGCACTGTTTTTCTCCCTAGATCATTGACTTGTACTATTCTATTATATACTGAGATGTCTTGTTTTGCATTATATTAAAGCAGTAGTTCACCTGCTGTTTTGCTTAAGGACCAGCAAAAAAGAATCTGCTCAAACAATTATAAAAATCCAAAAATAGTAATAATTTCATAGTGGGTGCTTAAGGAAGATTTTTAATATTTTTTTTTTATATGAAAGCTTTTTCTATGTCAATTGTCATCCATATTACTATGGTGCTTGCTTAACAGTGTTGTGATATTGTTGTACAATTTACCTTGAGATAAATCAAGTATTTGCGTGATCGAAATTGGGGGTTGGCGACCAAGGCACTAACAGGTTGTCATAAGTGTGTAATTTGTGCAAACGTCTTGTGATGTCAGATCATGAAAGAAACATCGGACTGAACGACGAACCATTTAAATCACGTTAGGATACTGGATTAGTCTTACGATAAAATATACGTCAAAGCATTTATTGAAATCTATGTGTTCCAGAAGTGTTGTGTGATACATAAAATGTAATTTAAATGCAATATGCCTTTAAATATATGCATCAGGAATTCCAATTGTTGGGTACATGTATAGTAAAACATTTAAATAATGAATAAATCTTTATAATTGATATAGTTTAAATCTCGATCTTCTACTTTGTTATAGGTTTTTTTTTTTATATAGGTGGCGCTTTCAGTTTATCATAGGTCAGCTGATATTTAGAGACCCTCTTAATTTAAATGCATTGTAATCTCTATAGTCCCATTTCGAGGCTTAGATAGTGAATGTCTGTGGATTTGAATCCAGAACCGTGGAAATGGATTACCAAACATCTAACCACAAGCTATATCTGCACAAATTTAATTAGAGAAATGATTTAAGCAACAGACTTAGGATCAATGCCTAGAAAATGATGGAAACTCACATGTGCTCAAACATTTCAATGAAAAAAGGATATGTAAATTGTTGTCTAATAAAACAAAAATACTTCAATATCATGAATAGCCATGACAATGAAATCAAATTAAAAATTTAAGAATCCCTATATATTAAATGGAACAATCCTGATCTAAATATGGAAATTAGAACATGTTAACTTTAAACTTGTTTAAAGGTACACATCAGCAAGTATATGCAAGGTCTTAGATACTTTGCATTCACCATAGCTATTCAACTAAACAATAATTATTATAATTAGTGTACAAAATAATTACCGTATTTATTTGAATAAAACTCCCGCTCATTTTTTCCTCTAATTAATTCCCCCTCAACAAATCTAATGAAAGCAACATCATTCTCAACACATTCTATCAATGTTCTACTCTGGTAGCATTACATTTTTTCTAACCTGGTGGTCGGTTGATGGTTATGTTAGAATGAGGGACCTTGACAGATTTGCTCGTAATGAAAATATCAGAGATCTTACACCGTGAGTTGTTGCAAGGACGGTTACCAGTTAAGGGAGGAATGTTAGGGAGATCGGAAAAAGTCAGGATACATTTAAGTGGGGGGGGGGGGGGGCTGTCGTTTAGCTAAGATTGGATTTTTGAAGGGTGTGGTCGGGTAAGTGGGTTTTCGGAACCTGGAAATCCGCTTCAATAGATTCGGACAGCTGAAATACGAGGGTTATTAGTCCAAGGGACGCGTGGTTTAGTTTTAGAGCTGTATTGAACAGCTTTTAGAGCTGTATTGAAGAATAATAATAATAATGATAATAATAATAATAATGTCGATTTTATATAGCGCGAGTCATGCACAAAACCTCTAAGCGCTTCACAATAGATGATGCTTACTCATGCTTTCTCAATGTTACGTTTGGATGAATGGTATCGGGCAGGCCTACTTTTACTCAATTTCTAGGTTCTGTGGATTATGAAACGTTTAACATGTGCTCTGTCGTTTTGGACATATAGAACGTCTGAACATCGTTTGAAACTCTGCTTGCGCATAATTCACGTGACGTATTTCACTTTAATACACTATACATTTTGTATTTCTTATAAAGAGTGATCGTTGTGCGTAATTTGAAAATGATTCACTGTGTACTTACGAAATATGAGCGGTTTTCGTGCGTATATGAATTGTCTAGGTGTAAAGAATCATTTAGAAGCCATCTTGAACTATTCAACTTTCCATTTCAATGATAAAATGACAATTTTTTGTTCAAAATATTACAAACGCGCACATATGCTTGATTAAAAACAAATGCTTAAAATGCACTGGAACATACGTGTCAAATTAATTTAAGATGATTTGGATCATTTTAAAATTTAGCCCGCGCGTTTATAATCAGGAAATTGACCGGAACAAAAATGACTAGATGTATCAACTTTTTTGACAGTTAAATACCTAACTAGTGTATATTAACCATCGATTATACCATTGGTTATTTTATAGTTGACAGTACCTCATTGGAAAAATAAACATGCACATTCCAAGACTTCTAAATGAGAGTATTTAACTTTCGGCAAGTCAATCCATCAAGTTATTAAATCTTAGAGAAAAAAATTCTCTATGATCCAATCAGAAACCACAAAAACATAAGGTCACTTAATTGATCACACTTTCAATAGTAGAGGGTATATAGAAAAACACCCAATGTCACAGACTCAGAAATAGAGAGAGGACAATTTAGAACATTAGTTACACAGAAAAACTTGGGAACTGACTCCTCTATAAAGGCTCCAACTCGTATTAACACCTAAACTGAGTAATTTGGAGTTTGCAACGTGTATATATATATTGTAGCAAAGATACTAGAAACACATTATCCATGATATACAAACAGGTAGACAGACACAAAAGCGCAGAATCGTATGACCGGACTCTGTTATTGAAGTTTTCCTCCATTAGTGAAAAAGAAGGGCGCCGTGTGCGTCTGGATCGGGGTCTGGATATACCATAGAGATATAATAAGAATATTTATTTATTTAATAGCTCTATGGGTTAAACACGGTGGCACACCAGGCCTAGTCACTATAGGAACACAGGCCGGTTTGAGATAAGCCACCTAGTTCAGACTGGCAGATAGATAAACCCAGTGAGTTGAGCCGGGTTTATCTACTTAGTCTAAACTAGCCCGATTTGGACCATTTTTATTTTTTGCATGCGCATTGATTCGCGGAAGTACGCCTATACACCTGTATTTAAGAATGATGTGGGTAGGCTAGAAATATCACTTTAATGTGAAAAAGAGACAACATGTTCTTTTAGAATATTCATGCAATTCAGGAATATCTATACGGTAATAAGGGAATATAAAACATGGTGATGTGTAATTTTGTTTGAACTATAGTATTAATGGTCAGTGATCATGATTTGTAGTGCATTTGAACACAAACACACGTGCCATTCTTTTACAATTATAATAACAATATTGTTTAAAAAATACTACAGTATGTAAAAAATAAAAAAGACCGACTCTAGGCCTGAGGTTAATAAATGTTTGCATTATTTAATGGCCCCTTAATGGCCAAAGTTTTGATTTCATTCTATGCGAGTTCTCTATCTTGTATTTCTAGTAACTTTGATTGTAGTTCGTTCGTAATTTATTCAAAATTGAAAAGATTTGACGTTTTAGATTATTAGATTATGAACTGAAATATGTTAAGAGAATTTAACTTCCTGTTTATGTGTTTATATAGGAATATACTACTCAATACCTCTTCATAGCGGAACGGCCTATAACATGAGGATGCTGCTGCTATTGGTGTAAGTAAGTTGACGATTCCAAGATGTAAAGATGGCATGCTAGTGTCTAAATTTCTATATTATTATTATGTTGTTTGCTCATTTTGAAGACCTTATCAAGGAACAAATGGTATATTGCATAGGGCGGAGTAAACACAACGATAGGATTTTACTCAGAGGAGGGTTCTATGGTTCTACATAGTCGAGTGAAAGTTTTTGAAACCTTATTTATAGAGGGTGACTCTTCCTGTGTATCATAGAATGTCGGCTGATATTCAGGGGCTTAGGCCTCTTAAATAAATAAAATAATGTGATGTTTTATCAGCGAAGTTTCATTACGACGCTTAGGAAGTGGAGATTTCTTTTAATTTTTTAGTCGTGAGATAAACAATATATGCTATCATAAGATTTCAACACATGACCCTGGGATTGGAAGGCAAGCATCTTAACCACTATGCTACATCTGAGTCTTGAAAAGAATATTCGATTGATATTTGTGAGTAGTGTATTGTATTTACAATAAATACGTCTTAATCTCGGTCCTAGGCATAACGTACAGCTCAGTTTAACCATCATTAGTTCCATGTATGTAACAACTACGAATTTGAGAATTCTAAGAGACCAGTTTTCAATATGTATTCTGTTATCACTTTTGACAACATTAACGAATTAATTTTGAGACATTCCACCTTCTTCGAAGGTCGTTCTGTCAGGTTAAGAGATTTGACAAATCATGCACAACCACAGATGTACCTGGATCATGGAATACAAGGGGATAAGTATGGGTTTGTTCGTGCGAGAACGGGGAAAATTACATAGGGTTTTTACCGGTATTGTATCGGCGGATGGACGATTCGTGCAAAACTCGGTTTTAAAAAAACATTTAACCTCTGACGTATAAGACCTAAGGTATTATGCAAATAATGAGTTTTATCAAGTTTCCCTGGACCCTTGCGTCCCCACGCTTTAATCATGGAGGAAGCATTTTCTTCCTCTATGCTTTAAATAAGAAATGGACAATGGCGTTGGTACACTGCATAATGTTGCGTATGCATTTTGGGCGTATAAACCCAGAATAAACTTTTCGTTTGGCAATGGTAGTAATAAAACAGAAAATTACTACCATTGTTAATAAGCAGTGGTATAACGATCACGTATGCATGCTGCGGATGTATGTAATAGGGTAACAATGTGGATTGTAGGCTAGCGCTCCGTTGAAATAATATATTTTATCGAGCTTTTCAGTTTTCTTTTAGGAAATTTTAAACTGTAAAAGAAGAAGGGACCATAAACATTAACACAGACTTTACTTATAGCGCGTGTTAAAACAACCAAAGGAGATTAAGTGATAAAAAATGCTCCCTGCTGCTAACACATGCTGCTTTTGCTCCTCTAAAAAGCGTTGGATGGATATCAGCAGGCGGTCCGCGTTTGACACCCAGTTTCAGTTTTTATTAGTACACACTTTTACAACAATTGCACACACTACTCAGTGGTGCGTTCACACGTATGCATGCGGCGGATGTATATAATAGGGTAACAATGTGGATTGTAGGCCGTCTAGCCCTCCGTTGAAATAATTTATTTTATCAAGCTTTTCAGTTTTGTTTTTGGAAATATTAAACTGTAAAAGAAGCAGGGACCATGAACATTAAGACAGACTTTACTTTTAGCGCGTGTTAAAACAACCAAAGGAGATTAAGTGATAAAAAAATGCTCCCTGCTGCTAACACATGCTGCTTTTGCTCCTCTAAAAAGCGTTGGATGGATATCAGCAGGCGGTCCGCGTTTGACACCCAGTTTCAGTTTTTATTGGTACACACTTTTACAACAATGGCACACACTAATCAGTGGTGCGTCCAAACTTACTTAATCAAATAATAATATAAGTGAACAAAAGTTCGGGCAATAACTGGAAATGGCCGTTTCCGGATTTATACCGTGTTAGACTTTACAAAAACTCACCCTATGAGCATTAGCTCCAAGTGAATTTTGCTAAATTTTTTCTTTCTTTTTTCAACTAAAAGCAACACAATATTCTTTATTTGGAAGCTACACTTTTACAACAGTGGCACACGTAGAAAACAGTGCGTCCAAGAAAAATATAAGAAAACAAACAAAATCAAAACATGACAAATCAAAAGTAAAAG